TGCTGCTGGTCTGGGGACGACACTTTGAGTAGCAAGGATATACAGAGACAGAATAGGAGTGAGCAAAGCTTCAGGGTTAAGGACATAGGTCTTGGAGTCAAAGAGACCTGCATTCATTTTTTTTTTTAAGATTTTATTTTTAAGTAATCTCTACACCCAGTGTGGGGCTCAAACTCACAACCCTGAGATCAAGAGTTGTACACTCTACCGACTGAGCCAGCCAGGTGCCCCAGAGACCTGCTTTCAAATCCTGGCTCTACCCTTTCCCATTTGTATGCCTTGGAGGCATTAACTTATTTTCTATAAATCTTAGTTCCTTATCTGAAAAATTGTGAGCATCACAAGAGCAATGCCAGGGGTGCCTGGCTGACTCAGTCAGTAGAGCATGCAACTCTTGCCCTCAGGATTGTAAGTTTAAGTCCCACACTGGGTGTAGAGATTACTTAAAAATAAAGTCTTTAGGGGCGCCTGGGTAGCTTGGTTGGTTGAGCATCTGCCTTCGGCTCAGGTCATGATCTCAGGGTCCTGGAATTGAGCCCCACGTCGGGTTCCCTGCTCCATGGGGAGCCTGCTTCTCCCTCTCCCTTTGCCTCTACCCCTGCTTGTGCTCTCACTATCTCTCTCTATCAAATACGTAAATAAAATCTTTAAAAAAAAATAGTCTAAAAAAAAGAGCGATGCCAATTGTAAATCTCAAAGTATGTTGAGAAAAAATTTTTAAAGCAATATCTAACACATGACAACAGATCAGTAAATGGCAACTGCTTATATCAATTATGTTATCATTATTACAAACCTGAATTCTAGTCCTGACATGCTACTATATAAACTTGGGCAAGAGGTTGGCCCTTCTGAGTCTTAGTTTTCTCATCCATCAAAGGGGATAATAATAGTGCCCACCTCAAAAGGTTATTGTGAAGATTAACATGGGGGAAAAAGTATAAAAAATACTTATTACAGAGCCTACCATATAGAAGGCACTCAACAGAAGGTCACTGAAGTTATGATTGCTCTAAGACTTGGTTCTGCCCCTGGCTCTGTGACTTCTGGTAAAAGAGAGGATACCAAGGTTGTATTCAACATCACTGTGTGGGTGGGAGGATGGAATGAGCCATAGTAAATGAAAGTGTTTTGGAAATGAACTCCTGTAAAGATTTAAGCAAAAGCATGAGAGTCAGAATCTGACCTGAGTTCTAGCCCTAGATGTGCTAACATGTTACTTTGTGATCTTAAGCAAATGGCTTAACTCCTTGGAGCCTCAGTTACTTCATCCATATAGTGGGGCTAATAATACCGACTTACAGGGTCGTGAGGATTAAATGAAATAACGTGTAAAGCGTTTAGTACCTTGCCTGGCATATAAAAGTGCTTGATGAATGTTTTTTTTTTCCTATGTATAGTAATTACATTCAAGATTATTTTTCCAAGGAGAATGGTATTTCCAAAAATATTTTGGTTTGGTTTGTGAGATTCTCTCCATGAAGATTTATTAACTTGAAGATTAAAGGTCTAGGGCGCCTGGGTGGCTCAGTTGGTTAAGCGACTGCCTTCGGCTAGGGTCATGGTCCTGGAGTCCCGGGATTGAGTCCCGCATCGGGCTTTCTGCTCGGCGGGGAGTCTGCTTCTCCCTCTGACCCTCTTCCCTCTCGTGCTCTCTATCTCTCATTCCCTCTCTCTCAAATGAATAAATAAAATCTTAAAAAAAAAAGATTAAAGGTCTATAAAACTGAACTTCTAAATGTATTCTATTTAATTATACATCAAATATTCCAATGCTGAATATTTCATCAGTGGTGTCCCTGGCTGTTGGAAGGTAGAGCATGGGGAGGAAAAACAATCAATTAAAAAGTATTTGGTATAACCCTAAATAGAGTTCATCTTTGTTTTACTGCCAAGTAGAACAAAGTTTCCAGAAATTTTTTAGAGGAACTAAAGTAACTGACCCAAGGCTTTCCAGAAGAAGCCCTGGACATACTGTTGCCATATTCATTTCTCATTAGTAAGAGAAGATTGCTACTGCTTTTTCAAGTCTAAATGATTTTCATCCTTTCTGCACTATGTTGCCTGACACTTCAGGGGGACCCATTTTAAATCAATTTCTTTACTTGCCCAGAATAAAACCTTGCAACAAGTTATATTCTTGTATCTCTCCGCTGGTCTTGGATGAAGATGGACAGATGAAAATCTAACAATAATACCTTTTTCTAGGGCCCCTGGGTGGCTCAGTTGTTAAGCATCTGCCTTCGGCTCAGGTCATGATCCCAGGACCATGAGCCCCAGGATCCTGGGATCGAGCTCCACGTTGGGCTCCCTGCTCGGCGGGAGGCCTGCTTCTCCCACTCCTGGTCCCCCTGCTTGTGTTTCCCCCTGCTTGTGTTCCCTCTCTCGCTGTGTCTCTCTGTCAAATAAATAAATAAAATCTTAAAAAACAAATAAATTAAAAAAAATAATACCCTTTTCTATGTCAACATTATCTTGGTAGAGGTTTTCTAGAAGATTCTGAAGCCTGTGTTCTAAATATATTCTACCTGGCTTAGTCTGTATCTATATGTGCCAAACACAATGCCTGATACAAAGAGGGTGCTCAATATATATTAGCCAAAAAAAAAAAAATCTTTCTTTCATACTGTCCTCCTGCTGCTTCTTTGCTCATGAATCTAGCTGTGCAAGGAAGTGGTTTAATGGAGGCAGGGGTATCATTCTGAAGCAAAGGTGGATGGAAGGCATCCTGGTCATGAGAACCTTCCCCACCCCCAAATGGTAGAGAGAGAGACCTCTATCTACCAAGCATCACATAAACTTCTAAGTGCTTAGAAAACAGGCCCTGGAACCTCACTGAGCCACCTTTCTACATGTTAGTGTTTGGGGTTCCTATTATTTTCCTAGAGCTGATTCCAGATGCTCGGATTTAGGACCCTTCTCCCAATAGGGCTTAGTGATCCATTTAGGCAAGTTTCCTGATGACATGTGCACATACTTCGCACATAGGGAGTATGCAATTTCTTAAGGGCGTGGAGGAAGAAAGGAGCAAAATAGTATAACATTTAAAACATCATAAAAATAAGTACTTTCTGGGGTGCTGGGGTGGCTCAGTCAGTTTAGTGCCTACCTTTGGCACAGGTCATGATCCCAGGGTTCTAGGATCAAGTCCCGCATGGGCTCCCTGCTCAGTGGAGAGTCTGCTTCTCTCCCTCCCTCTGCTGCTTCCCCTGCTCATGCTTGCTCTCTCTCTCAAATAAATAAATAAAATCTTTAAAAAATAAATAAATAAAATATTAAAATAATAAAAATAAAAATAAAATATTAAAAAAATAAGTACTTTCCAAATAAAGTTTTCAATGGTTCCATACCCCAGCATAAATCTTACAATTATTGCTTAGTACTCCCTGCCCGTCTTTATCCATGGTTTATATCAACTTTAGTTCTTACAATGACCCTGGAAAGATGGATATTTTATCTTTGTTTTATAAATGTGGAAATCAAGACTCAGGTTAAGTGATTTGTCCATATAGCTAAGAACACATGTTTGCCTGACTCCTTATTCTATCTAGCTCAAGACAATTTCCCATTCTAATGCTTTCATTTTATGTTACTTAAAGAAGGTTTTTGTGTTTCTATATACTTATCATAGGGATCTCTTCAATAGCAGCTAACATTCCATTACATTCTTACAGCATTGTTACTCACCCACTTCCTATTCTTGGCCATGTAGGTCGTTTCAGGTTTTCCCCTGCTGTAAACAATGCTGCTTTATATATTTTTTGTTGTGTTTTTGCTTTGTTTCCTTCTTTTGAATTATTTCCCAGGAGGGTATTATTGGGTAAAAGGGTATAGACATGTATATATTTTTGGCTATTTATGTGACTGAATTGTACAAAATCATTGCATCTTGAAAGAGAATATTATCTTCCTTCACCATACCCTGTGAGAGGCATAAGGCAAGCCTGGGTGGACTCAGCAATGAAAACAGCCCTTTGTCCCTCTAGCTGCTTGGGGATGCCCCGGGGCCATATGAGACTCCCTGAAAATGATTTATGACATAATCCAGAATAAGATCTCACATGGGATAGTGTGATCCCCCTTTCCCAGAAAGACTTCCTTAATTAAATTGTCTTTTTCTTTTTGCAGTCACAAGATCAACAGGTTTTTCCAGCAACTGACACTTCCCTCTTAATTCAGACTACAGCTGTCCGTTCCTGTGTTGGGAAAAGGTGTAGTAGCTGTGAGAAAGCCGACATTCCACCCTTGGTTTGCCATTCCAAACTAGGTGCAAGAGGGTCAGGATATATTACACCAAGGAAAGGAAGTCCCTTTTTCAGCAGAGCTGAAAAAGGTTTTAGAAACAGTCTAGAGGAAGTAAAAGTGAGGAAAAGTCCTACCAGAATAAGAAAGCGCTGTTTCAATGGGTGGAAGGTAATTTTGAGAGATGCATTAATATCTCTGCCTCTTAGTTACTTACATGGCAAAGTACCATTTGAACTTATTGAAAGGTTTAGGCTGAAATTATATGGCACATAAAAGGCACTCAGATGATAGCTGTTGTTATTATTAATAAGCGTGTAGCCACAGCATGCGTAAGCAACAGGGCAGTGGGCATTGTGGGAGAAGACACTGAAGGCAAACAGAACTGGCTGGGCTAGCTCTTCCTAGTCAGGTGACGTCAGGTAAGTTTTAATCCTCTTTGAGCCTCAGTTTCCCATCTGTGAAAAGGAGGTTATGAACTTACCTACAAAGTTTGTTTTATAGCCCAGATGGGAGCTTGTGATAGGCAAATAGTAAGTGCTCAATAAATAGGAGATATTATTATTTTTTCAACACTGTTATATTTTTTTGTAAGTAGGTTCCACATCCAGCATGGAGCCCAAAGCAGGGCTTGAACTCATGACCCTGAAATCAAGACTTGAGCTGAGATCGAGAGCCAGATGCTCAACAGACTGAGCCACCCAGGCGCCCCTGGAGATATTATTAATTCACAAACCTATCGATAAATGTGATCAACTCTGCTCGCTTCGGCAGCACATATACCAAAATTGGAGCGATTACAGACAAGATCAGCACGGCCCCTGCACAAGGATGACATGCAAATTTGTGAAGCACTCCGTATTTTTCTGATTTAAAATAAATCTACATGTTTATTGAATTAAAAAAATAATAAATGTGATCAACTAAGTCTTCCCCTGTATCAGGGGTTCTTAAACTTCACTGTGTATAAGAATCACTTCGGATCCTTGTTTCAGGTGCAGGTTTTCAGGCTCCCCCTCTCCCCAGGAAATTCTGTTTCTATCCTTTTGGTGTAGGGTCTGGAGATCTGAACATATAACTAAACTCCAAGGTGATTTATGTTGCCAGTAATCCATGAAACATACTTTTTGAGAAACACTGTCCTATGGTCTCAGAGAATAAAAAGAAAAAAAATGTTTTTCCCATCATGAATATACCATAAAAACTCTATAATATACAGATGTAAAATTAAAGAGATCTGAATATTGAATGACTCTATTTTCAAGATGACTTGGGGCGCCTGGGTGGCACAGTCAGTTAAGCGTCTGCCTTCAGCTCAGGTCCTGATCTCAGGGTCCTGGGATTGAGTCCTGCGGCAGGCTCCCTGCTCAGCGGGGAGTCTGGACTGCTTCTTCTTCTCCCTCTGCCCCTCCCCCCTGCTTGTGTGCTCTCTCTCTCTCTCAAATAAATAAATAAAATCTTTTTTCTAAAAGATGACTTATATAGTTCTTACCTACTTAAAGGCTTCTGAATCATCCTAAAACAACATATTATTCTTTTAAACACTCATGATATGGATGAATGTGTGTAAACACTTCTTTCTCAGAGTCATTTCCGTCCCTTGTAGGAAACCTCTCTCCCCTCTGCACTGGGGGCCTTAACTATTTCCCCTTTGGAATGTTCACACACATCACCATTTCAATCTTTTGTTGTTTTACATTTTGTTTGTGCCTTTTATTTCCCCACCTGGACTTTAAGTCCAAAGGCAGGGACCCATGTCTTTTCTGGTTCTCTGTCTTCACAGGCATCTTGTAAAGCCTTTGTACATGATATGTGGTTCATAAATATGTTTGAATGGGGGCGCCTGGGTGGCTCAGTCGTTAAGCACCTGCCTTCGGCTCATGATCCCAGGGTCCTGGGATCGAGCCCCGCATTGGTCTCCCTGCTCCACAGGAAGCCTGCTTCTTCCTCTCCCTCTCCCCCTGCTTGTGTTCCCTCTCTCGCTGTGTCTCTCTCTGTCGGATGAATAAATAAAATCTTTTAAAAAAAATATGTTTGAATGAATGCAGATATATTTAACTGTAGACTAGTTCTCATTGATAAATTCTTTACCACAGGAATGGCTCAGAATTATAGCTGTGAAGGGTGAGCTACTGGGCTTTTTCACGTTTAGAGCCAGACAGGGCAGGGTGCAGATCTCAGGCCTATGAAAGAAAGTGCTAGAATCCCTCTGAGCCTGTTTTCTCATTTGTACAGCGGGAATAATTTACGTTGCAGAGCTGCTGTGGGGATTAAGTAAGACAGTGTTCACAAGGTTCCTAGCAAAATGCACAACACCTGAGTTCTCTTTCAATGGTATAACTGCTTATTCTTATTATCATATCTAAAAGTACCACATTAGAATAATAGATGCAACTGCCATAGACATCTGTCTTCAGATATAAAATAATAAACCACTGATTCTCTCTGAGCAAAGCTGATATTTTCTCTTTTTTTTCCTCTTCTTTCATTTTATTTTATTTTTTTAAGGTCTAGCCTTTTCAGCTTTAAGTAACAGATTGTCCAGAGGTTTTCTATGGATTCCCTATAGAGATGGAAAAGGACACAAAGCAGCCATTTTACCAGTCCCAGGCTTTCACCCAGAGCAGTACAATCAGGGTTTAAGTTTACACTTCACAAACCTCCTCTGTTCATAGCCATGATTATTGTGACCTTTCTCCCATACTAAGGAGCAACAAGCACCCAGAATGAAGAATATGCATCCTACCTGCAATGAAATGCAGGCACTTCCAGGTTTTTCTATTACAGAGAGGAGATTTAGCAGTCCCAGGAATGAGCCGGACGCTGGGATCTCCCATGCAGGTCTCAGGGATGTGAGAGGAAGCAACACAGGAATGGCAATCTGTTCAGTGTTACTCTTTTAAAACATTGCCAGTTAGGTATCAGAGATTCTATGCTATGGAGGAAATAACACGTACAATTTTGAATAAAAATAGTAATTACAGATTTATTTGTGAAGGCAAAAAATTGAAACACCTAAGTATCTAAGAATAAGGTAGATGGTGGTGGGTAAATAAACCATGATATATTCACCTGATAGAATGGATAAGTAGTCACTAAAAATATTTGTTTAGACATATTTCCATGTGGAATAACATGGAAGATGTAATAATATGTGGATAATGATTCTGAGTACATTTTAAGTAAAAAACAATAAAATTTAGTATAGACTCAGAGCTTTCTCCAACTCACCAGTGATGCAGACAGAGCCTTCCCGGTCCTGTCTGCCTCTTAGAACAGCCAATAAAAAGCCTGTATTTAGGTGGTGGGATGGTGATGTCATTGACAATCCGGCCAATCTCCCTGACGATTATTTGCATAGTTTACTTCTCCTAATCCAACGGAACCCAATTTCTTTTAAGAGGAGCATTGAGTGGAAGTGGAAATCTCTAAAAGAAAGGGAGGAAAATTACATTAACAAAGGGATATTTATAATGATGTTGGTATCAAAATACAGTGATGGAAATTATTATATCTGGTCTCAGGAGAGAGTACTTCTACCTTCTAAGCAAAGCATTCTTCTCAATATGTTAAATCTCACAAGAGCTGGCCACTATTACCCATTTGATGTTTAAAATGTTTTTTTAAAGAATTCCTACACTGTAGGAAACAGAATTTTCTTGGATAATCTGCAAACTCCTTGCTAACGGCATAAAGAGAAGCCTTTTGAAAAAAGAAAAAACAAACTCTACTCTATGTTTACCTGTTGATCTTGGCACTTTATCCTCTATCATTAAAGCCTCTTCCGTTTATCAAGCTAATTGAACTGGCTGTTGACAAGGGAACAGGATTCCATAACCCTGATCTTAATCCTTCTTGGTTATACACGTACTCGTTTGGCAAATTTGATCCTACCAGGAGTGCCCCCTTTCATTAGCCTACCCGGATTTCCTTTCACAAAAAGCATTAAGCTTAGTGAAATAATTATGCTTTTTTCATGTGGCAGACTGGGGGCTTAGATAAGTTTGCTAATTATTTTTGTTTCATTTAGGTTTACTGAGCACATCTATGTGTCAAATGTTTTCACATGCATTATCTAGTTTTATCGTTAGGATAACAGTGTGAGGATAGATATTATTAGTGCCTATTTATAGATAAGAAAACCAAGGGTGAGAGAAGTTAACTGGTTGACCAAAAACACACAGGGAGTAACAGAACCGGAACTCTTACATGGATGGTCTAACACCAAGACCTGTGTGCTTCCCTCAACACCATGTTATTTATTTATAATTAACTAGTGGTGTCAAAGCAGAATGGAAAATGCTACTCTTACATACCAAATATAATCTCTTGCATTGGGAATCTGCAAATTTTTGTCTTATCTTGAGCATCAAAACATACTATGTGCCTGGAGCGCCTGGGTGGCTCAGTCATTAAGCATCTGCCTTCGGCTCAGGTCATGATCCCAGGGTCCTGGGATCCAGCCCCACGGCGGGCTCCCTGCTCCTCAGGAAGCCTGCTTCTCCCTCTCCCACTCCCCCTGCTTGTGTTCCCTCGCTTGCTGTCTCTCTCTCCCTGTCATATAAATAAATAAAATCTTTAAAAAAAGCATACTATGTGCCTGTGTTCTTCCAAAGAAGCCTAGAAAAATAGAATGATCGATCCTTTCAACAGAATTTCATTCAAAGTCATTTCAAGTTCTAGTTATCTTAGGTACTCAAGAATTTACTATGGCTAATGAAAATTTGCCATCAGCTTCAAACTGGCAGTTGCAAGTCACACAGGTCTCTTTATAGAATTCCCACCCAAACTTCTTTGGCAGTAGTGTGTTCATTCTATAATATGACCTCAGAGAAAGTTGGAATGGGTGAGAAACAAGGTTAGAACACTTGAAATGGGATGTGTAACACTTCTGAAACTGGATGACATCTCTGATAATAGCTAGGGCCCTCAGTCTGTGCCAGGCAATGCCTAAATGCTTTACATTCACTACCCAACACCCTATAAGATAGGTTCTGTCACGATCCTCACTCGCAAATTAGGAAACTGGGGCATAAAGAGGCTGGATAACTTGGCCCCAATCACGCGGTGAGTGTAGAACAGAGCCAGGATTTGTCCCCAAGCAGTCTGGCCACAGAGTCTAGAGCTCTTAACTTCCACTATGCAACACTGCCTCTCCAAAATGGAATATACAGCATTAACTGATTTCATGAAACGCACCACAGACTTTTTTGTTGACCTGCACGACACCTTACTAAATATGGCCACAAATAGGAAATTTGGCCATCATGCTATTGTGTATGATAATAGTCAAAGTTAAGGCCAACTTCAACCTACCATAGAAATGGGGCATAATTCAAATGATAATGGTCTCTGCTTTCTTAAAACCTCACAGTGACTCCCTCCACTTTTCTTTCAGCTTCCAGTCAGGTCATGAACGCATGCTCACCATTTGCCCAAGGCTACCACTTACCTCCCAGCCTAGGACTTGCCCAGGATCTGTAGGGGTCCCTATACTTCTTTAGAGCGAGTCAGGAGTCAGGTAGGGGGTAGCAGACCATTCTGCCTGACATTCAGCACATGGGAATCTGCTCCCTCTTGTTCTGCTTAGTCCTGCCACGGACTTCACCGGCTTTCTGTCTTGATCCCTCATCATTTAAAATGCTCACGGCAGAGTGCTAGGGAAGCTTTGTGTTTCCTCGTTGTGCCCGATACCGGGTAGTGGATGTAGGGGGTGGTTCTGTGTTCCCAGCCCATCCTAAATTCCTATCTTCTAAAAATGGAGCTGCCTAGTTTAGAAAGTAGCTGCCTGACTGAAGTAAATTCTTAACAACTTAGGCTCTTCTAGGATACACATTAAAATGAGTGGTTGGAATGGGAGGACAGA